GTATTTAATGTTCGGCTTCGCCCGAACTTAGACTTTCTTACTTGTTAAATATGCATTGCTAAACTTCAAGTGCATCAGTGCAATACAAACTAAAAAATAACGAAAATACTAGCAAAATCTTAAGCGATAACAAGCATTTATGGCAGTGTCATCACTTATTGTTTATTTAATCTATATATCGATATAATCGATCAATGCAGGCTCGAATTAGCATTACTCTGCAGATTTTCTCTGCATTCTATAAATACTCTAAGCCTACGTATGAAACTGAATGACTGTCGAAAGGGCTGAACAACAAGCAGTTGAAAACAGAAAAAAAAAACTATAACCAACAAGTAAGAAAGTCTAAGTTCGGGCGGAGCCGAGCATTAAATACCCGGCGCACGTATTAAATATGTATTTTTCACCTTACCGAAAGCTACCGCTACATGGTAAGCCGGGGCGTATCAAATTTGGGTAAATTAGCGTCCTTAAATTTCGAAATATCGAAGTTTCAAGCAGTTCTGAAATTTACCGTTATATGAAGGGCGGCCGTAATTTTATTCCGATTTTAATAATTTTCAATGTTTTGCTTATATGTGGCAAGCACAATAACCACACCGAGTTTGGTACAAATTGGTAAAACGGTTACCGATATACATATATGTGATCATAAGTGGGCGGTGCCACGCCCATTTTCAAAAATTTTAACGCAAACGTATTTCTTGGTTAAGAATTGTTGCAAGCATCAATTTAGAATAAATTAGCTTTATTATTCACTGATTTATCGAAGATTTTGTATTTCTCTAAATTACCGTTATATGGGATGTGGGCGTGGTTATTGTCCGATTTTAAAAAGTTTCGGCNAATATTTACTGATTTATCGAAGATTTTGTATTTCTCTAAATTACCGTTATATGGGATGTGGGCGTGGTTATTGTCCGATTTTAAAAATCTTCGGCCATTTGGTATGTTGTGCGAAGGGCAACAACTTTGCCAAGCTTGGAAAAAATTGGTATAGCGGTTACCAAGTTATACACATGTAACCATAAGTGGGCGTGGCTACACCCATTTTCCGAAGATATATAATATTCTTATGTTTCGTCTAAAACTTATTATAAATATCAATTTTGGGTGAATAATCTCCAGTAGTTACTAAAATATCGCAGTTTTCGTATTTCTGGAAATTACCGTTATATGGGAAGTGGGCGTGGTTAAAGTCCGATTTCGCCCATTTTCAATACCAACCTACCTTGGATTAAGGGAAACCTACATACCAAATTTCGTTGAGATATCGCAATTTTTGCTCGAGTTATCGTGTACACGGACGGACGGACAGACGGGCAGACGGACAGACAGACATGGCTTAATCGATTTCTTTTTTCATCCTGATCATTTATGTATACATTTGTCTATATCTATCTCAAGTCGTTTTGGCTGTTACAAACAACCGTTATGTGAACAAAGTTAATATACCCTTGTGCACAAGTGCGCTCGGGTATAAAAATGAGTGAAAATAAGCTTCATTATAAATAGCGAAACTTTACACTATACTGATTTTTAGAAAGATCCCCAAAAGAAAATTTGTCACTTTTATTAATTTGCAAGCGAACACATTTGTAGCAGTGAAACTTATCACAGCCTCAATTCGCCGACAACGATGTGGGAAATAAATTTTATTATCACTAAAGCGCTTAATTTGACTGCGCGAGATAAAACAAATATGTATGTATGTATGTTTAAACATATGCATGTATTTTATATTTAAGTCTGTGTTGTTGCAATTTTTGTGATGTACATACTACATACATATGTACATGCTTTCTTCTTTTAACATGTTTTTGTTAAGTATTATTCTAAACTCCGTGGACAAGCAAAAGCTATTATAATTTATAAATTATTTTAATTTGGTATACGTACATACATATGTACATAAAAGCACCTTGCGGGAAATGTATCTCACTATAAGTTAACTTGAAGTTGATTAGGAGCGAAATAAAGGTCACTATTATCTGTATATTTTCTTTGAGGAAAGCCGACTATATTTCTATGGCGATGGCCGCGAAATATTCACGGGTGGTTACCTCTGCATGAGATGTCAACTAACTTGTAACTAACTACATTGGACATAAAATATCAATAAGAGATACAAAATAGTTTTTTTTTGTTGTTGTGAAGTGCAGTAAGAAAGTGTATTCATAGTAAAATTTGTATGAGGATATTTAACAGAAACTTGCTTAAAGAAAACAATAACCCCGATTATGTCTGCATTACTCCTGCATTACTTTTCAATTAGTTTAAAGTTAGTTTTTTGTAGCTAACTACAATTTATATATTTTAAAGAAATCCCGCAAAAGTAATTTTTTTTCAATTGATCATATTTTTCTGCAGGGTATACTTTCATAGACTATTTTTATAAGCACATATTTAAATATACATATTTATGCTTTATATGCATGTATTTATGTGTAGAAGCTTTATTGTTATCAAAATAATCATCAGACAACATCAATTTAGTGTGTCGCGTTTTCGAGTGTTTTGGGCCCAACAAATGTGCGCAAAGCTGAGAGAGGGCATGCAAATGAGCTATGTGTATTTCGTAAATGCCCATTAGTTTTGGACGCCAGTTCGTAATTGTGCGAATGATTAATTGTTTTAATACGTTCACAAGCATCAAGCGCACATACGCTAAATTTT